CACAGGCTGGTGTGCTTCTTCCATGTGGGCTTTGTTGCTTCTGAGCTAGATGGCAGCTTGTTTATCTTCAAGCCTTTAAGACCTCTCTGAGCTTTTATGTCTGTATTTACCATTTGGCAACTATGCTACCTTATTTTGTTGTTATCCATTGGGCTGCTAACCCAAATATGGGCTGTTCAAATCCTCTGGCTGCCCTGCAGGAGAAAGATGAGACTGCCTACTTTTGTAAAGATTCCCTGTCTCGACAATCCAGAGGAGCATTCTGTTTTGTCCTGTGAGGTCACTGGCTATGAGTCAGAATCAATTAGACGGTAACGGTGAAAAATTAGTTTGCTATTTTAATGTATTTATATTTTATCCCGACCTAGATTGTAAATTCACGGCCTATAAAAATCTTTTGCTTTTATTGAATAATCCATTCCAGTATCCAACCCAGAGCTGGGTATATATATATAGGTATTGAAATGTTTACTGCAGGTAAATAACAGAGTATAAAACATTGTAATCAGCACTATTTATAAGCATTCCTGGCCTGTGAGCATTTTTCTTTCATGGGTTATACTGGAGAGGATAAAGCGGTTAGGGGCACCATAGGCTCCCGTAACATGGAAAACGCTTACTGTTTTCTTATTTCATCTGATTTGTCATGTTTACATTTTATTTCCAAGAACAACTATCTTTAAAGGGCTTAGGTGAGTAAGCTGGAGTTTGCTTCAGAAAACAAAGGAATTGTTTTCTTGGCTCTTGTGTAACTTGAAATGCACCATATAACCACCTCCTTCCATCTCTTTCGTTAGTGTTCATGAAATGTTTAGAGATTCCCATCCTAGCATACATTAGGAATAAATTCTGTGTGTTCTTTTAGTATGGTTTGTTGTCCAATTGTAATACTAGACACATAAATATAATCTAAAATAAATTTACATGAATTCAGACTCCATTAATTTGGAATTCATGACAATTCCAGAAACTGGTTTGCAATTTGATCTTTGAACTGTTTGTGAACAAACAGCTTGTTAAATCCATTTATAAGATAAACAGAAGTCAGGGGGAACGCTACCTCTGCTTTAGAGAGCAATTTCTTTATTCTTTTAAAGCATTTTCCAAGTATTGCTTACCTAGGCTGATGTTTCTTGCAATTCTCAAAGCTGGTTTGATCTAACACAGAGCGGCTCCACTCCCTCTGTTCTTCCGCTATCACTTTGACTGTTTGGCTGTATCCCCAGCACATTCTCACTGCCGTCAAGTCAATTCCGACTCACAGCAACACCATTGGGCAGGGTAGAATTGCCCTTGTGTATTTGTGAAACTAACTCTTTCTACGGATTAGAAAGCCTCATCTTTCTCCCTTTAAGCAGATGGTGACTTTGAACTACTGACCTTGAGTTTAGCAGACCAGCTCATAAACCACTGTGCTATCAGGGTTCCTAGTCAGAACCTCGGAATAAACTGAATGAAAAGAAAGCGTGATGACAAGAGGGATACTATGGAACCACTCAGAATGAATGGTTCGCAGTGGCATGTAGTCTTCCAGTAGGTTGGGTACTGCTGGCACGTGTATTTATTGGTTACCATGTTAATGTTTGTTATGTGCTCGTAGGAAAGCTTTCTTGATCTTAAATAACCGCTTTCCAAAGCCAGTCTTCTCAATTAGGATAGGACAGATAAGAATGAGGGACTGTTTTTTAAGAATGAAAATGTGAAGATGAAAGGTTTTGTATGTACAGATTGTGATGAGGTGTATGAGCCCCTAATAAAATGATTATTTAAAAAAAATTGTTTTCTTAATTTGTAGAAAAGAATTTAAAATTACACCCATGTTTGGGTCCCAAGGTTGACTCTGATTAATGAGATACATTGGTTTGTGAATGCTGTTGTGTGATATTGATCATGGCCATACTCAGCCTTCGAAACTACCAGCCAGCCCCGAGGGAGCGGGACAGGGCTTTCTAATTCCACACAGAGCCACAGCCCCAGAAACTCCCAGGGCCGGTTCTTCCCTGTTCTGTAGGGTCATTATGAATCTGCATTGAATCAATGGCGATGAGTTCTTCTGTTTTGTTTTTCCTTTCTTGGGGGGACCCTAGCAGCACAGTGGGCTAAGTGTTGGGCAGCTAATTGAGAGGTCGGCAGTTCAAATCTACCTGCTGCTCTGCAGGAGAAAGACGAAGCTGTCTGCTCCCGTAAAGATGTACAGTCTCAGGAACCTTGAGGAGCAGTTCTATTCTGGCTGATGCCCGAGGGGACTAAACGGCAGTGCGTTTTAGTTTTCTTCCTTGGGAGACATGCGAGCCCAGGGTCCACCACAGTCTGGGCAGGTGTGGTGAACTCCTGAGTCAACATTGGATATTGCCACATTCTTCACTTTGAACTTTTCACTTCTTAGTTTGTGATTCTGTGTAGTCAATAGTCAGAGATAGAAAAGGGTTATAACTGGTTCTGTCATGATCTCGGTGGCCATGGTTATCTTGTAACAGTCTCATATAGGGAAAAAAGAGGACCATTTGTGTCTCAGTAAATGGAACAGCCCCAGGGATACTTCATGTGTAGACATGCCTTTTTAATCTAAATAAAGGATAGCATGAGAAGATAGTAGGATAAAGAATTAAATTCTTTTATTAATACAAAGGTAATACAAAGCCCAAGAAGTGAGCAGAGGTCAATGTTGACCTGTCCCTTTCGTTATTTCTGTGAAGAAGAATTTTCTAAGCATTCAACAAAGAATTTACCCTTGCGTTGGCGTGTTTACTTCCGTACGTACATTCAGGATGTGCACAAGGGCAGCCTCTTGCTATATTGCTAGTAAAATGGACTCAATTATGGTCAGATGCCATGGTCTGGCTTTAAATTCTAATAACTTGTTAAATATATGACTGTGTTAGGCAGGGTTCTCTAGAGAAACAAAACCAGGACACATGAACAAGAGGGAGATGGGATGCCAGCTGTCTGTTTTATTTCGGTCGGTCAGCAGTCAAAGTGGGACCTGATTAAACTCTGCCCACATGGTCCCATTGGCCTAATTGGCACAATAAACCCAGCGGTCACAACAGCATACATACATGCTTATGTTAATGCTGAGAAATGATTTTCTTCTTTTTTCTATAAAATAGGCAATGTCTACTTTGATCTGAAGTCTAGAGGAGACAAGTATGGCAAATTGGTTGGTGTGGCCCCAGATCCAGTTGGAGAGCCAGGTGGGTAGTCTGTAAACTCTGCCTCACATCCTAGCTTTTTGGGCAGCTGACGCACACACTTGGTTTCTCCTGCTCTACCGTGCACTTAGTCTAGAACTATGTACCTGCTCATACCCAGGGCACGGTGATATGTGGCTTGAATTTCTTTTTTACCACTTCGTATTCCACTTGTTATGTCTATTTAAAAATTATATGATTGTTTAGTATACAGATGAATAAGTCAAGTGTGAAGGGATAAGATATAACATTAGAAAATTAGGAAATACAAATATTCAAAAAAGAGATAATAAAACCATACACACATGATAAAAATTTTAGTACCTTAATATCGATATCATTTCAGAAGCAAAAAACATCAACGTTTTTATTCTCACCGCAATAAAAAGGCATAGCTCATTGCATTGTTATAAAGTGGAGACCTTTGTGATTAACACCCATGAAAGGAGATTAAAGTTTTCCAGGTAAATCAGGTCCTACTAAGCACAGCTCCTAGCTCCCTTTTCTTCAGGTAACTTCTGCTCATTGATGGCAATCACTTCTTTATCTTTCTTAGTGCTTTTCCCCCAAGCAGGTCTCCCCAAGCACCACAGTTTAGCCTCACCTGTTTTATATTTTTATGTCTTGTAGAATGTCCTCCCCCAAGTCTAGAATTTTCTCCCCTACACGGTTTCTCTGTGCAGTTTATTGGATGAAAGGAGCATCCTGTGTCCTGGCATTTCCTCAGGTGGGATTTTGCTGGCTGTGCCCTCAGGGTGGTGTTTCATATATCCCTCTGCCTCCTGTCTATTTTTTCCAAGTGGATAGTTCAAGTGACAGGCTTGATCCGTTTGAATTTCTGGAGAACACCGCGTCACAGACGGTGGTGTATTTTTCAGCAGAAGAGGCGCAGGCCTGATTGTCTACACTCCCTTTGTGTTGTTCACAGCCGTTGCCGCTCCGTGCTCACACTCTTAGTTGCAAAATGGTCCTAGTCTAATTCCAGAATGTCTTCTTTGTTCTTTTGCTGGAATGCTTTTATGTAAACAGATTGGGAGTCCCTGGGTGGTGGAAACGGTTAAGCCGGAAGGTTGAACCTGCCCAGAGGTGCCTGGGAAGACAGGCCAGGTGATGTACTTCGGAAAGGCCGCAGTTGGCTTTACCCTCGCGGGATCACCTCAGAATCGACTCAAAGGCAACCAACCGACAGTCTCACAACAGTAAATGGACAGGTGGCTAGTTGGTTCTCCAGAGGTACGGAGAGGAGGAATGCTCAAGTCTTTTATTTACCCCCTGTCAAAATACAGAGATGATGTCTCTGAAAGTAACCAATTAGGTTTTGTGATTTAATCACCAGGGCTTCACGGACATAAAGCCTAATTGGTATGTTTCAACCCATTGCTATCGTTGGCCTTCTTGATCATTGTCTCTTCTTTGGCTAGTGGGGGCTTCTTGAGGTGTCCTTACAAGTCCTTTTAATACAACCCAAGCAGTAGCCCAATCATTTCCTTGCCATCTCTATGAGACGGCGAGATGTTCCTGGACTGTTTTGGACATTTCCTGCCCCAGCTCTGGAGTCAGCTGTTGCTCTGGTAGCCCTGCTTTCATTTAATGGACGGAGGCATTTTCACACCCCAGAATGGGCTCCAGGATACTCCTTGCTGCGTCAGTCATTGTTTCTATTCCATGGGTAGAGGTCAGAAATAAATATAAGTGTAGTAAAATGCCACCTAAGGCCACACTAAGGACCAAATTCACCACTGTAGGTGGTTTTACTTACTTCTGGCCCCCCACCCCCCCCTCACACACACACACATGGAAAATCTTGAGTTTTAAGACCTGGGATGCTAGACAATTCGATTACATCATTCATTAGCTTTATTCATTTACTTTACACGACTCCTGAAAATGTTTCGTAAGGTCTGCTTTTCTGCATGTGCACTCTGTGTTTCCAGTGTCATAGCTTGTATACTGTGCCACCTTCCCTGTGTCCCTTGGTTCTTCATGGGTCTACATGGAAGTATGAGGAGATGTGGGAACAGATGGAGCGGTCTGGCAGCCTTGGGAACCCTCTGGGCAGTTCGGCCTGTCCTTCCAGGGCGACTATGAGTCCGGAGTTTGACTCCATGGTGGCTAGTTTTGTTAATTCACTGGTGATTCCTTCTTGGCAGTTGATTCTGACAAACGGCATGGCAGTGATTTTGCCCTCTGGAAGGCAGCTAAGCCCCAGGAAATATTTTGGACATCACCTTGGGGGGATGGAAGACCCGGCTGGCACATTGAGTGTTCGACCATATCGAGGTCAGTTTCTTCTGCATCCTTTGCGTGTTTGTATTGATGTTAAAGTTCAGGCAGTGCACGAGCTGGTTAGCAGAGGGTGTCGATGAAAGCAAGGGTGCGGTTTCGTCCAAGAACCAATACCAACAAAGTAGATTGTTTGAGAAGAATTAGTGTTCGAATCTGACCAGCCATAAGAAGTAAAACACCCTTGTATTGTATCTTTCCTTATATCAAGCAACCCTTCCATTGATTAGTGGAAAGGGCAGGCTATGTAGTTCAGGTCTCACTTTTCTGGCACACAAAAGGCGATGTAGAGGCATACCTGACTGTTCTGTGGCGGGCTCAGGGGAATATTTGCCTGTCAAGGAGCACAAGGAATCTAGAGTGACTCCCCACACCTGCCTGCCTGTGAAGGGTTGAATCGTCCCTGAAAACTATGTGCTGGAAATCCTAACCTCAAGGCCCGTGGTTAAAATGCCATTTAGAAATGAGGGTTTTTGGGATTTTTCTCCCTATATTAATGAGGCTGGATTCATGTAGGGTGTATCTTGAGGCAGTCTCGTTTAAGATATACAAGATAAAAACAAATGAGCCACGACAGGTGGCGTGAGACCTATGCCAAGACATATGGAGCTCTCCACGGAATAAGAAGCAGGCGTGGAAGAGCTAAGAACTGTCCCCTAAAGCTGACGTGGAGAGAAAAGCCTTCCCTGAACTCGGGACTTCTCCATTCAGAAAGCGCACTCCTGCGTGTTAATGGAGCTGTGCCGTGAACACGTACCTCCAGATAATGAAGCCGCCGACACGGCCGCTCGTGGTACCTGCCAGGAGAGTACCTGCCTTCCTTTGACATGCAGACTGCTCGTGTGCTCTTCAAGCACAAGATGACTTTTGTCTTCTACCTTATTTTCATCTGATCAATTCATAGGCTCACTCGGCGCTTCCCCCACATGCCTAATCCCTAAAGCTGGTTTTTGAGTGAACGCCCATCTACCATCCTTCATCTGTTTTCAGCCTCTACGAAAATCTTCCCTCTGCCTCTTGGTACAAGCTCTTTCATCTCGGGCAGCAAATATGCATAAGACTCTTCTGTCTTAGGAAAATCCCAAAAGATTAAAGAAAGGTTGTTTGGGGTTTATTTTCTAGCTACCGTCTTAATTCTTTTGTTCTCAGCAAAGCTTCTGGGAAAGATACTGTCACTTCCTGTTGGCTGTCTGATAGGCGGGCCTTTGGCACGGTCATCTCCCCACTCCTGCCCACTGAGCTGCCCTCTCTCAGGTGGCCTGCGCGCTCCGCAGCCCATGCCCAGTTCACGTCTCTCCGCGTCCTCTGTCGCAGCTCGCGCTGCAGTTTCCTGAAGCTGGTGTGTTCCTGGACGTTAGCCAAACAGGATCCTCCGGCTTTCTGCATCTCTGATTCAGCCTGCCCCATCTCCTTTACCATCTTCCCTTTAGAGTTCCCTTGAACAATTAGGCCTGCCCTTTGGTTCGCCCTCTGGCCAGGTGCCTCTGATGCTCACGTTCCTCCTGTGTTTTCCTTCCATTCCCCCTCGTTTTCACCGCCATGTGTGAACCACGTTCCTCTTCTCACTTCTCAGCCCACTTGCCTGTTTGGCCGAGGCACCTGGGTGCTGCAGAGGCACCCGAAGTCAGCTTCCTTAAAAATGAATACTCACAATTTAGCAACCGTCTAAGTGTGTGTGGGGGGGGTCAACACGGAGAGGTCGGATTCTTCCCAACTAACAGGCAAGTCAGCCGCCCTTCTCTCCCAGGTGCATTCTTTTTCTCACACATTCCATATCTTCACTAATGACATCTTCATCTACCAGCTACTGAGGGAGAATTTGAGAGAGGTCTTCTACACATGGGTGCTTTATCCAACAAACTCTAGCCACCCATATGACTAGCCACATGTCAGTATTCAAGAGCCAGGCGTGCCCAGTGGCTACCACATTGGACAGCACCTCCATCTGTGCAGAAAGCTATTGGACAGCTCGGTCCAGAAGCTCTGTAAAACGTATTGTCATCAAGTCTCTGGCATGTATCAAATCCGTCAGATCTTGCTAACTCTCTCTTGTCTATACTCATTTCTGCTGATTCCTTTCAAAAGGCATTCAACAGGCCTAAACCTAAAAGACCCACTGCCGTCAAATCAATGCTCACTCATTAGTGTCCCTATGTAGGGTTTCCAAGTTTGTAAATCTTTATAGGAGCCGATAGGCTTGTCATTCTCCTATGGAAAACTGGTGGTGTGTGCACAGCAGGATGAAACATCTGGCCCTCTCTCTTCCTTACAGGATCCCCGGTGGCAGAGTGGTTATATGCTGGGCTGCTAACCATGAGGTTAGAAGTTCTCAACCACCAGCTGCTCCACAGGGAAAGGATTTATTCCCATAAGGATTTACTGTTTCGGACACCCACAGGGCCAGGTCTACCCGCCTAGAGAGTTGCCACGAGTCAGAATTTCCTCGATGGCAGTGAGTGGTTCAGTTTAGGTCTTCCTTATAATCGCCAATATATTGTTGTGACAATTTGCCGGTCTCAGCATGGTCTCCCACACCCTTATCAGTTCTCTCCTTCACCAAACAGGATGTGAACACTTCACCACTTTAGGTGATTGATCGCTCCAGATAGAGCAAGGAAAGTGAGGAAGTCAGACAGAACGGTTCTGTTGTGATCCATGGGTTTGATTGGCTCATTTTAAAAATTGGGATTCCAGACCCTTCTTCTTAGTATTAGGATTTCTGCCTCATATTAATCTGGAAGTTTCACTGAAATGTGTTCACTGTGGGTGACCCTACTGCTATTTGAAATACTAGTCCGATAGGTCCCTCACAAGTCCCCGAGCCCCACGTGTGCCAGTAGACAGATGGCGGAGTACTAGCATACCCTCTTAAAGGACCTCTTCTCCATCGGCACGTCGTCGGTGCCACTGGAGTGACTCCACCCATCACAGGGTTCTTCTTGTCTGTAGAATTAAGGGCATGTTCTTTGTGACATGGGCCCTAAGTGATCTTCCAGCTCCGTGACCCACAACTTCTGCCACACTCTGGAATCGGCCCACATAGACCGGCCGTCTCAGCTTGTGCTGTTTTCTCTGCTGGGAGAGCCGGGTCTCCTCTTTGTGGAGTAGCTCTTATCTGTCCTCCTGCCACCCTCAAAGCCCAGCAGAAGTATCACCTCCCTTTGGAAAGCCCAGGAGGCCCCTGACTGGGTTGAGACCTTTTCTCCTTATTCCCTGCAGTTTTTAAACTATCTTCTAAGCTCCACCCCCACTTTTTTTTTTTTAATTTCGGAAGTCATTCAACTGTAAACAACTGGAGGGCAGAGGCTACATTCTTCTCACCGTCTTTCTCCAACCCTGCTTCTCTCTCTCCTTTCCCCAAGCCCCCACCCAGCAAGATTCTAGCACAGTGCTTAGCACACAGGCCCTCAAATCTTGGTGTGTTCTGTTTCATTGACGCATGCTCTTTCGCTTTCCTCCTGAGCAGCTATGTGTTGCACATGACGTTGCTGTTGTGGCTCGGTGCCCTCGGGTCTGTTCCGACTCCTGTCAATCCTTGGTACAATTGAACAAAGCACTACTTGGTCCTGAGACAGCCTCTCCATTCTTTGATGCTTGAGCCCATTGACGCCCGCAGGCACTGTGCCCATCCATTCCGTGGAAGGGCTTCCCTTTTTTCACAGCCCTGCTGCTTTACCAAGCATGATGTCCTTCTCCAAGGACCAGTCTCTCCTGACGTGTCCAAAAGATGTGAGACAAAGTCTCGCCATCCTTGCCTCTATGGGCATTCTAGCTGCACTTCTTAAGGCTGACTGGTTTGTTATTTGGCCGTCGGTGGTCCTGTCAGTATCATTCCCCAACACCGGAGTTCAAATGCGTCGTTTTTTCTTTGCTTTTGCTTCTTCAGTGTCCGACTTTCATGTAGCTTTCAGCCTCCCAGCAAAACGCAAGCCACCACCTAGTAGGACACGCTGACAGACAGGTGGTGGGAGTGTGACGTTGGTTCCCTATGGCTGAGCTTACAGTTTGAGCGGGGATTTAACACTTGTGAATAAGACCCAGTTTCTTCAAAACTCCAAAGGAGGAGCCAAGAGCCAAAGGACAGTATCTCGCTCAGTCCAAGGGTTGTTTGGCATGAGCTGGGAAATGAAGTCCCTTCCTCTGAAACAAAGGAGCCCTGGTGGTTCTATGTCGTAAGCATTGGGCTCACCGCAGGTTCAAGCCGCCCCGCAGCTCTGCAGGAGGAAGAGGGAATGAGCTGCCTCTGTCAAGACGTGGGGCTGCTGGAGTCGGACTTGCCTTGATGGGCTGGGTGTCCTTGGAAACAGCCTTTGCATCCTGTCTCTTGTTCCTTTCCCTCCCTAGGTCGCTTCAATTAGCTTATCCTTGTTGGCTGAAAGCGAAGTAACTGTTCAGTTGCCTTTATTTTGTATGAGGAAAGTCATGTACTTATGCAGGAAGGGAGGCAAAGTACAGTGCAGATGGCCCTAGTCAGAGGCGAGCCCCTATGGAGGATTATGGTAGCCATAGTCTGTCTTTTCATAGACGCCCTTTCCCAGTGGTTGAGGCAGCACCCATTTGTTCTTTGTTTGTTGACATTTGTTTTATTATGAAAGGGTGTTGGATCCTCTTCAGATACATTTTTCCACAGCAGTTGAGGTGATCATGTGATTTTTTTGTCCATTAAACAAAATGGTATGTCACGTTAATTTATTTTCAGATGTTAAACTAGCATTACATTCCTGGTATAAGTAGCATGGGGTCTTGGTAGATAATCTGTTCTAGATGTTGCTAGAATTGGTCTGTTAGTATTTTGTTAGATTTTTATATCTGTAGTCATAAGAAATATTGGTCTATAGAGTTTCTTGTAGTATCTGGTTTTGGTATTAATGTAATATTAGTTTCATAAGATAAGTTGGAATAAGCCCCACTTTTCGCAAGAGTTTGTGAAGATGATAATAGTTCTTATTTAGATATTTAGCGGTAAATTATCTGAGCCTGGGTGTTTTCTAGGTGAG